TAGGACTGACCTCAGGCGAACCCGGAGTGAACCCAAAGCGAACCCGCAGCGGACCCAGAGCGAAAGCCGGTATCGAACCAGGATTTCAGAAGCGCATCCAGAATGCTCGTCCGGCGTTCAGTATTACGTAACAGAACTGTCAATCAAGTTACTGCGTTGACCAATTGGCGCAAGCAGTACGCCATGTGAAGTTAATCAAGACATTTGTATACCTAAAGTTGTAAGTGTATAAGCATTGCGTGTTTATATACAATATGTGTAGATTAACTTTTATTTATGGAATTAATTTTTATAAATTATATAATTCTCCAGGTTACATTAATAAATTTGAAATTTCAAATTTTTTTTATTGTTTAACTTATGAATTATTTTATTTAAAATATATAAATAATGCACTGCAATGCAATGCATTTTTTCAGACAGTTGTATGAAAAAGATAAACTTTAAGACGATTGTGACTAACACAGAAGATAATTACAATCTAACCTTTCTACTCCATTTTATTTTTTTTTGGAGAAAGGTGTTTTCACTAAATAATTTGTAAATTATTTCTTTTATGTTTATATTTCCGATTTATATTTATTACAAATCGATTTTTTTTTCTTCAACGGACATAAAATATGTTTTTATCTATGTATATACACGTACGTAAATTCGGGAAAAAAAATCATTAAATGAATTGTAATGTGTAGTTCGTATAAATATTTTTTTGTTTTATCTTTACCAAAATACATAACATGTACAGTATTAGGAGCAGAGTATAGATATATTTGCATAACTTTGCAGTCTATTTTTACTTAGTCTTGACATTATTTTTCTAAATTACCTCAAGCAATCTATTACTTACGTATAAACATTGATTGTTTGAAAGAATTTCAATGGCCACCATGTATCTACTTGTATAACATGAACCTGTTTAGGAGTTATTTGGTGATGCGAAGGCATAGTTTAAGGTTCCGTGTTCTTTTTTAACCGACACCTTCTTGAACGATATATCCCTTTACCATGGTCACGGTGTACCTAAGAAGTATACACTCCACGTACATTCACACCTTCCCCTTAGATTACCTGTTACATATAACTTCCGAATATTTAAAATTGTATGGCGCCGGCTTAGAATGTTAAAATTAAACTGTCCCGAAAGAAACGTTGACACCATCGTGTCACGAACAAAATGAGAATTACATGTACAAGTAATATACAATGAAATTGTTGTCATAAGCGAGGAAGGGGGTTTATGTTTGTACATGTAGCTATATATTTTAATTGAATACATGTACGATGATAAAACTAGTATATTTTTATTATCCCTAAAAAGATTTTAAGTTGCTTGACCTGTATATATCAATATTGAAAACCACATAACCCGGAAATAGCTAAAAGGCGAGGTACACGACTTTGTACACATTATACAGAAAATATCAAACCACGTCCTAGCCCTTTAAAAGTAGAATTACATTACCTTGGATTTCAGTCATCTTTATTCAGTCATTATAAATATGCTTATTGCATTTAACACAAAAATGATTAAGAACTCTGTTTGATCGCGTACTGCTAATAAATTAAACCAGCGATAATATTCCTCGTTATTGTTAAAAGGCATTTTTTTCAGGGGGGGGGGGGTGTTATTTAACTGTTGTTTTGTTTTTAAACCACCCTTCATCAGACGGAAAACAAAAGAAAAAAATATCATTTATTTGCATAACCCTTAAAATGAAGTTTGAAATTGATGAAAACACGTACGTTAATGAATGTGACCTTTGCAGCGCCTGAATTTTGAAATATATATACATGCAAATGAACGATCGTCATCTACAAAGTCTGCTTCAAGACAAAATAATTATAAAATTCATCGGGAGGGGGGGGGGGCTCATTTTCATTTTCAAAGCATTTCGGGTAACGTATGCTTGCAATTCGAATTTTAAACTTACGAAAACTAAAATGTTGATAAATAATTGTTTGTTGGCCAAGACAACGCATTTTCCATTTAAGGGACTTTTATGAAGAATATAATGGGGAATACTATTAAGAAACAAAGCATATCTTAATCAAAGTCGAAGCAAAAGAATTGAATGCGTATAAATGCATGTATACACTGTATATGCATTTCCTTTACGGGGAAAAATATTAGAACCTAACCAAAACTGAAGTGTACAAACAATCATACCTATATGTCATTAATTAGTCTGCCGCTTAATTTTTCTAATGCGATTTATTGATTGATTGATAAAAATTTTGAAAAGTTTTTTTTTTCTCAACTTATAAATCTAGTTTCCTGTAGATCACTGTCCGCTATTTTTTTGAATAACCACTGTTCACGCAGTTATCAAAATACTTATGAAAAAAAAACCCACAAACAAAAAAATGTAATCTTCCCGAAATTATTCTCGATTTGTGAACATTATGCGAAGAACAACATAGTGTAATATTCTGTTCTTTTTATTAATGTTCTCCTATTGTGGCTTGCAGGATCATATACGTGCTTCCGATCGACACTAAACAACAATGAATCGTTTCAGCTACTGTATATATACTTGGATTCGAATATGTAAGGGGCGGAGCTAACACGCGGTAAGATGAAACGGGGGTCCGCTTCACGCTTGAATGAAAGCGAACGCCGGGTTCGCTCTAGCAAACCCAGAGGGGACCGCGAGCTAACGCACAACAAACCCGGAGCGCACTCAAAGAGGAAACAGATTTTTACCGGGTAAATAGCGTACCCTGAGCAAAAACAAAGCGAACTCGGGGTTCGCTTTTGGGGTTCGCTCTGGTGTTAAGTTGTGTCTGATCGGTACTCTATATGTTTCTTAAAAAAGTAATAAGCAAGTTTTTGAAGAGATTGGTAACGATTTTTGAGTCCAGTCAGTTTTGCTACTGTGGCACAATTACATGTGAGCCTACTGTGTTATGATATTTTACGAGTTCGAGATGTACATCATAGAAACCTGTGAGCTCTTTGATATTTTAAACAGAAGACTTATCAGAGATAGAATCTTATTTTCAAATTAATACAATTTATATTAAAATCATAACGAGTTTAAACTTTTTAAAGAAATCAGCAAAAATTGGATATCTAGTCTAATATGTTGACATTCAATTTTTAACGTTTGCATGCCAAGAAAACGTAAGAAATAATACAAAAAAATGGATTTCCTGGTGCGCGCTTGTCATATTAAAGAGCAATATACTAAGTAAACCTGTCACCACAGGAAAAAAAATAATGATGAGTACAAAACAACAGAAGAAGCAAAATAGAAAATGAAAGAAGACATGATAATAAAAGGAAGGGGGGGGGGGTCGTTCAAAGAAGTCAGCATTACTGAAGGGGATGTTACAGTCCCTAAATACAAGGAAATATTTTTCACTCATGATGAAACATAATGTTAAAGATTATGAAAACGACACCAATGGATTGGGTAACAATAGATATTGTCGAACTATAATTAACTCAACCGGGGCAATTTTAAACCAATTAGTCCCAATATGAAGGATGTAATGTATATTTCAACACTTGTACGTTAACTTTGAGCGTTTAAAAAATGCTACTTTGACATTAAAAAACTCCACCCCCACCCCCACCCCCTCAATCCTTTGGGCGACGTCAGGTTTTTTTTTATCATAAACTCTTATATGGCTTAAGAAGATTCCAGCTGATTTAGAGTTTAGGAGATGAGAGATCAAGGTCACAAATTCATACATATTAAATGGTTTCAAGATTCACATTTAAACTGTCTAGGAATTAACAAGTCCACCATTGGTTTCGCAGTGAAAAAGTAACTAAAAACAAATCTCTTATACGAAATAAGGAACATGAGGTGAATTAGAAGAAAACATAAGAAATCAAATATTCACAAAGTAGTAATTTCTACAAAATAATTCTGAGCCTTTAAGCTATAATGTGAGATAACACTAATGGGCTGATAATGCTTATAAAATTTCGTTACATTTTTAGATCAATTTTCCACACTGACTGATGACGAGGTATCCGTGTTATTTTGTTTTCTGTGTTCTGACTCCAGTCCTCCTGACTTCACTGACAAAGAGTGGCTGGACTTGCTTAATGTGATACGACGGAGAGTGTACCATAAAGAGAATCCTGTAACAAGTGAAGAAGCACAGCAGACTCTGGACAGACTGAAGTCACGTGATTACCTTTGGGAAGATCAGGACAAGATAACGAAGGACACAAAGGATGAGACAATGTATAGGATAGCATTAATAGACAGTGGTATACCATTCTATTACAGTAGTTATAACACAGCCAGTGTGTACCTGAGATCAGTGAGATACAACAGAAAACCTGGAGAGAAAAGTGTCTGTGGTCCTTACTCTGATACCTTACTGAGTACTGCTTACTATGATTCTTTACCGAGTACTGATTACTATGATTACTTACTGAGTACTGATTACTATGATTCCTTACTGAGTACTGATTACTATGATTACTTACTGATACGCCGTCTACAGATGAACATACTGACTCACGTCACCATGGAGGACACGAATATATATGATTGGATATACCGGATATGTAAGTCACTGTTAAGGAATGTAATTATTTTCCAAATACAGAAAATGTTTCAAATCATTGATTGATTTCTGCAGTTTGATATATTTAGACATAAGACAGAGTCAGCATTACTGTAAATAATTTTTGATTTGGCTCATAGTTAATCAGCGGAGCTTACACTGATGCTACAAAGTTTACATACACGTAAATGTATTTTGACAGAAAAACTGTATGGTCTTTTTAATCAATCTCGTTTGTGATTAGAAATATATGTACCTAAGTGTATATCTATACTAGCTTGATTTTATTTGTTCGATTTATTAAATTTCACATAATTAATGTTTGTCTTTTTCTACAGTGAATGTTAAAAAAAGTGTACAAAAGGACAGTATAGATGAACGAGAAAAATTTGTGATGGATTTAAGAAATGAAGGGGAGGTGGTACATCGCAAAGGAAGATCACGGGACAGTGTACAACACGTGACATGGCTCTGGAGATACGGAAGACCTGATATCGTGAGATCCTGTATAGGCCTCCATCCACACTGGGACATTAACATCATCGACAACAAAGCTTACAGGAAACCAAGTAAGTAGATTTGTAGTCTATTTAGTTTTATTTAGGTTTATAACGTTCAGTTTTACAGTTGAATTATACAGAATACACGTTCATTTCAACAGACTTAAGTACACCAGTCCTTAGATTTATCAGACGTCCTTCATTAGATACCGTACAGTGTTATAATACGGAGCGTAATATTTGGGTTCATAATTAAAAAAAAAACAACAACTAGTATCAATGTAAACATGTTATGTTAAATACGAACAGATCTAAAGACAATTGTAGTCTTTTCTGGAGGGACTTTGCTGCCAGATGAAAGCACATCTCAACATTAAAAAAAAGTGTCAAAAGTCACACGTTCTGTCATGGTTGTAAAATAGGTAAACTTACACATGTTAGATACAATAGTACCGCCCAGGTTGCACTATTTTGCACTATTTTGGTATTAGTTTTATTGGTACAATGTAACAATTTTTCATGATAATGTAAAGGAGTAAATGGTTCGAGGTCTAGTCCTTTGTAATTAGGAATGATTAGCCTGTCATTAAGGTTATTCTCTACTAATCAGAATTAAGATCTTCGTTTTATACCTCTATATCAAGTCCATTAATACGTAGCCTACGATCTTCGTTTTATACCTCTATATCAAGTCCATTAATACGTAGCCTAACAAAAGTGTAATCTAAGCTATTGAACCTGTCCATGTAATTGACTTGAAAATGGGTTAAATATCAGACCCCCTCCCCAACAGAAACACATAAAATTTGAATGTTTCACACCATATTTATGTTGAGTACTATATCTCAGTAAGCTTTAGCTAACCATCTCTTTCAGCTATTAAATCATGAGCTAGTTAGATTACCAGCAGATTACAAAAAAATATCTTTGTTTTCTACAAAGAAAAGACAGTCTTGAGAGGAAGTATATCAAACATATTCAATACTTTTATTTAAGAATTTTATTCTACATGGAACATATAACTAAGTATAGAAAGACAAATTGAAGCAGAACTAATATATCGGGTCTCACTTCAAAATGGAGGGACAAAAGGCTTGACTATAAAATACCACTGGCTGCTCTCAAGCCTATGGTTTGGACAGAACGACATGGAATAATCAAAACATTTTGTCATAGAAATTCGTAACACAGCTTGAACCTGTTTTATTAATGGTAAAACACATACATGTAGTTATCATGGAAGAAACTGGGGAATGAGCCAAATTATATGCCTACATAATGAAAGATAAAAATAAATAAAGAGGTAGGTTCACTAACTTATATAAAATGGTCCTGTCCATGTGCCTATTAACTGACCAAGTCCCAATGTCCAATTTCGAACAGCGATATAAAGAAGTAGACTTAGTGCTTTCATTTCCTATAAAAAAAAATTCCCCTGAGAGTCCAAGTATTGAAAAACAGACTTGTGAAAGAACAATTATGAAATTTAGTAAATTGGAAGGGTGATGTGGTCAATTGTTTGTCAGTTAAATACTCACTCATTAGAAATATCGTCTACGGTACACATTAGTGTTTGGTCGTAATTGTACGGATGAGCATACAATGTTATATTAATCAAGTAAACAACTTTCGATATTATTATAGCTTTAAAGACTACATGTATTTCATAAGATCCAACTTTCTAAAAAAGAGATGATCGATTACTATTTTTTATTTATTTTTTTTTAATATTAGAATTTTCAAGCTTGCCTAAGTTAAAATAAGATTAGCATTTAACTAGCATATATTTCATGATAAGGTAATTTTTACTTTACAATTTAAAAGATTTGAAGATTATCTATTTATTTATTTATTGGCGAATGTATTGATTGTATGTGGACAGTGAATAGAATTGGGGGGGGGGGTTCAATCAAGGATAAAATATTGCAAAGCAAAAACGGTCTTTTTTCATTTCTACTTTGAACATTGCCTAGTAACGGTATCTCTTATTTTACTATTCCGACTTGGGGGAGTGGGGGGGGGGGGCAAAGATACTCTCACTAGACACCCCTTCCCTTGTCTACCCCCATATATCTTTATTTGGACCCATTTCAGCTCTTAAAATTGGACCCTAAGAAAAATTTGTCTGGCGACTAAAACCAGGGACCTATACACTAACGGGATAGGCAACTCCTTCTGCGCCATGTTTATTTACATAAAACGGAACACACAACACTGCAAGTTTTTCAAACTACGTTTTTTTTTTCAGTAAAAAGCTTTTTTTTCTGATTAATGTAATCTGTTCTTTTTGTGTATCGGAATGGATATTTCATAAATTTTAAAGCACATGTTATAGAATAATTTAGTTATTTATATAGTAAACAACCACCAAAATCGGCGAATACTCGGAAATATGGCCGATCAGGGGCACGCACTGATTTTTAAATAAACGTAAATTACTATTAAGATAAGGAGTAAAAACGGTGCTAACAACAAATCTTGAATAATTATTTGATAGATAAATTGAGGTTTAATTCTGAAATATTTGATAACAAAAGAGATATATTTTATTAAAATTGACCTACGAAATCCCGCAATTTACGAGATATCGCGAGACTTGCGAGAGTTGCCTATCTCGTTAGTATATAGGTCCCTGTTAAAACTTTGCATTTTTTAATTAGGAGCCAGCTGGCGCCTAAATTTTGAAGTTCACTTATAAATAATTAGAGGCCTGATACATGGTTCATAGGGCAAGAGAAATCTATGTGTGGAAAATCATTAAATTCTGGGAACCCTCAGATGATTTTTACACAGACTTGTACTTAATTGAAATGTTACTTTAGAAATAAATAAAAAAAATCACTAAAAATAAAAAAATACATGTATTTATGAAATAATAATTACCATAAATTATTTAAAATGCCAAATAAAAATTATAATAATATCGGAATAAATATGTTCACATTTTAAAAAAAAATCATTTTTACTAAAGCGTTCGAAACCAAAATATCACCACTATCATTATATACAATGTATGAACATAAATAATATAATATACAAAATACGTATAAACACTCTACATACAGAGTACAAAATAGAAGTCTCTTTCCGATGCCCAAAACGGAGGTCAGCTGCAGTGTCTAGCTTGTTTAGAATCTTAACTTGATATCACCAATTTGACAAGTACTGTGTAAATTTATATGCCTAGGTAAATTCGTACAACTGAGAATTTCCTATATACGTTATTGCATAGCGCAAAACAGGCATGGGCATTTGGCTCATCCTATCCCCCCCCCCCCCCCGATTCTTTCTCTATCAAAGAAGTGTTACGTACCATAAAAATGTCATAAACTGATTTATTACACTCTGTGTTATTACAATTTACGTCAACGCAGAATGTAATAACAAAAATATAATTGCACACTTTTTGGATTATTACGTTTAGCGTAACAAACCTGCCTTATTTTTTTCTTTCTCCTCAAATTTATATATGTATATCTACTCTAACATTCAATTCAAAAACATGGGAAAAAAATCCTCCTTAAATAGATTTACACTTACCAAGGAAAAAAATAAACATAAAAGCAACAAAATATAAATGTATGATTTTATAAAAACACTTTCTCCAGACTTTGAGTATCTAATGACTTTAAAACGGGGAGTCTGTAAGTTTTACATGTAGCATTCATCTTGCAAATAATTGATATACAGAACTGGGAGTAAGGGTGTCAACGATATCCATAAAGTTGTCATTACAAGCCAAGGAGTGAATCGTTATATGCATTGCAAAGTCAGAATCTTGAATAACGCGATTCTTTAAACAAATTTTGTACCATAGGACTGGCGGTAAATTTAGATTTTGCTTTCATGTTGCTGTGGTGTATTTGCCAGAAGAATCACAGTTTTTTTTAAGTCACGCCCACCTTTTGGCATCAAGCCATACTGTGTCAAGACCTTGACTAATGAATGAATGATGTCAATTTCAAGACCAAGGCAATGGCTGATGAATGAATTAAGTCAACATTTTAAATTTCAAAAATACTAACATTATTTAGCTTGTCGGTGTCCGCTTCATAAATGGTTCTGTATGTTTTCTCCGCGTATCCTTAATCAGTAAATGATACGTCCTATCTCGAATTCTCGTCATTTTCTTTCCCGTCTCCAAATACATATAGCAATTTCACATCAGAAGTCCCCGCATTTTTTTTTACTTCCAATACCATTTCAAACTTTCATTAAAATGTCACAAATCATTTCATTTTTTTCTGTACGCCGATTGCCATAAAGAAAAAGTTCAATGCCGATGTTTCCCATATCCATCCCCCCTTTTTAAAAAAAAACGATCTAGAAAGATAACTTTTCTTTCAGAGTTGACGGCTTGAATATAAAAGCCTACAATCGCTACCCTATACCTGTACCTGACAAAAATCATGTTTTCTGCGTCTTCAACATTTCAAAGGTACAATATCTTCACACGTACCAATACCGATTTTTTTATCAACAACTTGTAGTAGCAGTGCAGCAGTAAAGTATGATCCTTGCAGATGGAGACAGCTATTTATACAGACTCCGGACCGTGGCCTGACACCTCGTAGTAGGCGGTGCTAATTATCAACTCGCTTTTCTCTCATTGGTCCTCTGGTACAAGTAACTTACACAATAGATATTAATTGGTTAGCTGTAAATACACTCACAGCTTTTATTCACTCGGGGCTCCGCCCCTCGTGAATGAAAAACTGTGAGTGTATTTACAGCTAACCAATTAATATCTATAGTGTAACTATAACATACTCAGCATTGATTTTATATAAAACGTATAAAATTTTATATTAATTGAGGGCGATAATCTGTAATCTATGGAAATCATAAAACGTTTTCTTTTTATCCGTAACATATATTATTGATAAATCTGTAACGTGTCTGTGTCCGATTACTTAGATCAGTCTGGGGGATGTATACTAATAATTAACAAAAATTGATTATAACGGCTAATATAAAGCAACGAGTCAATATATACATTTATCTATAGGTTATTTATCTCTTTATAATAAACACAATCAATTTGAATCACGATATGGGACAGGACTCTGTCTGGGGTATATGTCCCACGGAGCTGTCCTATGACGTGTAATTAGACGGCTGTTTCCCTGTATGTATTACAGGCGGAAGCCAGGCACTAGATATAGAACGAATGAAAAAAGATCCTATTTATTACAGTCACCGTATCTGCTTCTTCCATAGCCAAACGCAGAATGACTAAATCACCTAGGGATGCACTCTTATATACACTAGCGATATCCGGAATTAATCTAAGCTTCCGTCATACATGTACCCCTAATAATAAAACCCGTTATCAAATTAACACCGAGCCCGATCTTCACAAATCGAAAAGACATACCAAAAAAAAAAAAAAAAAAAAAAATCGCCAAACAAACAAAATAATAAACTAGTAAAAATGATTTTAAAAGTGCTTACAAGGCAGAATACGAATCAAACAATATTTTTGTTTACATTCATTTCCGATCTTTTAGCTTTTTACTGAATAAAAGATGATTTTGAATGTTAGGAGAAAATTGTAAAATGTTATTGAATGAAAGATAATGACTAGTTATAAATGGATTTTTGCTTGTATACATGATTTTTAATGTTATTTATCCTTTGTTTTCTTTATTAGGTAATTACCGTAACTATTCACCGGAAGTCAGATGTCTACTGTACTGCTTACTGTAAGCTGAGAAATATCAACTGAATCTCAATGAACAATCACACAGAATCACAAGTGATAAAATCAGAGACAGATATTTTCCTGATATCACTGATGATGGCTTTGTGGATCCTCCTGATGGAACCACAGAAACACATAATGGTGTGATAACCTTTATATCAGACGGCATCAGACATGAAGTCATGTACGCGTTTGTTACGGAGTGTTTGGTGGAGGACAGTGATCTGGAGTTTTTCCTGACCACGGCGTCACGTGACGTGATATCAGAATACTGCAGGTCCTGGTGGTATAAGAGGAGTGAGGGAGAGAGATGTCTGTATGTACCGGAGGAGCCGGAGAAGATGTACGACCTCCTTATAGACAAACTACAGCTGGACATCATCACACACTGTACCTTGTCTGACAGGGGGATTCATGACAGGATCAGTAAACGTTGTAAGTATCAATTTAGCATAGTTACTATTTGCTAAGAAAGTAGTGATATAGTCAATTTAATACCTGCTTTGGAAATAAACGTGGATTTTTATTCATACACTTCCTAAATTTTCTGCGGAACATTGATCAATCTTGTACATAAATTCCATTCAGAATTGTAAGCAGTATATGCTGAATAATGGTTCAATAAGAAATTATTTTATTTAATATTTTGGACTAAATAAGATGATACTTTCAAAGATATTATATGAATTCCGGTAAATTCAGAGCGAAGTTTGAAGTATTTTTGTGTCGCCTGGAGCAGAGCGGCACTTAGGGATCACTTTACCCGGCGTCTGTCTGTCTGTCCGTCTGTCTGTCCGTCTGTCACACCTTATATCTCAAGAACTGTAAGAGGTGTGTACTTGATATTTTGCACACATATAGGTTGGCACTATGGCTTTTGTATTTTACCATGATTACCGACCTAGTTATCCTTGAACTTTACCTTTGACCTAATTTAACTTCTTTTTGACATTTAAGAAGTAAGTCTATGCTTTTTAGCATGTGTACTGTTTGTCATAAAACTTTTCGAAAAATACTAGCGTCACAGTCCACTTGGCCTTGACCTTTCACCTACTTTGCAAAATATACTGTAAAATTTAACTTATGTCTTTTGAATTTAGGGAGGCAGGGATTTGATAATTAGCATTTATACACGTTTATGATCTCATGTCAATGTACTTTGACACTGTATGAAATACAATAACCACAAAAGAATGAAAATTAAAAGTACTATGAGAATACATTGGGATTGGTATTCCAATATGGATGGTGTGGACTGACAATTGCGTTAAAGACAGACTGAAGTCTCTTTTGGAGGATTGTTTGAAATCACGTATTAATTATTTAGTTTATTGATAAATAATTATTTATAATAATTTAATTTTTTTTAATATCCATTTTAGCTTTGAGGCGTTGAGTATTTGTATCTGATTTGTGTCAGATTCTATGGCAATCTTAATATCCCTGGATTTTTTGCATGAACTAAATGTTAGTAGCAAATAAATAGCCGACCACTTTTAGATTTAATTACATCTTTAATTAAGCTAGAAGCAGGCGACACATGCGTTCTTTGGAACACTCTAGTTTTACTAAGCTTCTTCATTCGTTTTGGATTTCTGTTAGGTTTTTATTTGCAAGTTCTCAGAAACTATGAATTAGTTTTCATATAACATAAGTTTAATAATGTGATTTAAAAGCAGTGTTTGAAATATTTGCATTTAACTCCGTTCCCCGCAGTTACGCTATTTGATCAGTTGCAATTCGTATGGAATGTCAAGGTTATCAATCAATAATTTTATTGGTACATTTCAATTATTAGCTTATTTGAATCAAGCTGCATTAGAGTTCAAATGCAAGCAATGTATTACAAAGTTCTTGTGGATGAGAATTCATACATGAGTTACCTGTGTATGAAAGGGTTAAAAGATTGCGCAGTAATTTAAATATAAAATACATTTAAAAAATGAATTCAAGTTTTGAGAATTCATTTAAACAATAAAATGCTTTCTTTGGTTGTTAGTACGGGAATTAATGTCGCAGCTGTTGCAGAAAAAATACATAACCCGCGTAAGCGGGTTATGTAATTTTTTTTCTGCAATAGCTGCGACATTAATTCCCGTACTAACAAACAAAGGAAGTCATTTTATTGTTTATATTTATATCTGTATAAAAAAAAAAACAATCAAAGTATTATTAAACATGTTAAATATTGTATTATAGAACTGTATGTCATTGTATGTATAATTGATAGAACAGTTATTGCTGAAGAAATCTATGCAGGTGGCTTGCTTATTGTTGTTTACTCAGTGATAAACGGCAATGGCTTTCTTAAGAAATAAAGGAAATAATATTCAATGGATGTAAATATAAGGACATGAACTACAACGCTTCAGGTCGGAATATTTCATGAAGAGCGTTCAGTGTCATTTGAGGCAAGAAGTTCGCGCACATATATCGATGTATGTTTTGCTATGATGTCCTCTCTTGAAATGTGACTTAATAGCGAGCGCAGCGAGCTCTAACGACAGCGTCTGGGCGAAGAGAAAATTCGGACTTGCACATTGATCCAAACGAATTTTTTTCTCCGCAGTAACTTCTGGACCCACAATGCATCGCTTGTTTAAGCTACGTTCTCGCGAGAATAAAAACAATTTAAAGTTTATCAAAAAAATAAACTCGGCTTGATTTAATGGATATATTGCAGATAAATATTAAATAAAACGTTCTTCATTATAATCAACAATGTGCAGGCTTAGACTTGGTAATGCAACTTAAATACGACGTCATGTGACGTCAGAGTCTAGACGCACCAAATGTCACGTGCAGTTTGACGATCGAGTCCGATCTAAATTAAATTTGAATAAGTATCTGCGCTCACCCTAACAGTCGCACCGTCAACATATTATATTTCTGCCCTGATTGACTAACTTAACTGCCCTGAGTGACGAAATATTAATATAGAAAGAACAAAGAAATTCAATTTTATTAGGATACATGTGCCCACTTCCGGCCCAACCCGGGGTTTAACTCTCGACGTAGGACAGCGCCACGAGAATGCCTAGATGGTCGAGTGGTCTAGCACGCTGTTTCTGTACTGCTAGGAGACAGACTCCGTAGATCAAGAGTTCAATTCTGGTTGGGGCGGAAGGATCTAAAATGAATTTCTACGTTCATTAGACATGTGAAAGGGGCATACACCTGCTTTTTGTGCAATATAACATTATGCTTTATAAATTTATGTACATGCTTCCTTAAAAAACAGTTTTCATGGACATTTTTCGTTATCTTCAAATAGCAAGATATTTGTTCGACTTTGTGCCGATGTAAAAAGTTTTAACTTCGACATTGCCTAAAGAAGTCGGAAGCTTCCCTCTATTCCAACTGAGGGTAATTTTTCGCAAAAATGGTCATCCCCAGTGACTTTTCCTCCGATAATACTTCTCCCGATCCAGTCCTCCGTACTTTGTTTTTATTTCTCTTAAGGGTTCTTTGATAAGAATTATTTGTGCGCTTTTTACAAACAACACAGTTTATACATTTAGGCATGTTAAATGGGTGTTTTCCGATTAAAATGACAGTTTTAACAGTAAAAAAAAAAGTATTATATCTTCCAACATTGTTCAGGAACAGACGCACGTATATAATATATAAAAACAGTTCTTGAAAGTTTGGAAAAAACAAAACAAAAGCGGTATCGGCAATATCTACAGAGTGTTTTTTTTTTAATTCTGTATAATGAAATATAAGCAGTAATTAAGATGTATGTTATAGATCCCAAGTAGTAGATCGATAGATACATGTACTTGTCGAAAGAAAAACCCAACGGAAATCGGCAAAAAAGTATCATAACATGTAAATAAAACAATTTAACTTAGCATATAGATAAATCAAGTATGTACTTATCTAATACATGTATATTTTAAAATAGAAGTCTTCTCCCAGAATTAAACCCGATGAAAAAAGATTTGACTGGCAATAGATCGCAGGCACTAGACACGATGTCGCATAGGTGTGCTCAATGGTTAAAGTGAATAGATTTGAGTCATGTGTTCAGTGCTTTGTTATTCATGAGATCAAAGACGGGTTGAAATTTGTAAACAAGGTGCCTTTACTATAGAGACAAGTGCCCGTGTATTTGAACTTTTTTGTAAATAACAAATGAGTGCACGACTATTTCAATTTCTTTCATGAATTTAAATGAATATAACTCTCTATAGTGACCATATTTAGGACAACCTGAAACATTAATGCGCTCATATTAAATTGGGCTTGCCAAAACGGGGTGTGGCCTATAGTCTATGAGAAATCGATGTTAACAACGCACCCCTGCTACAGTGATTAGATAAATGTCTATATATAGTGCATGCATGGAAGGAAAAAATGATTTTAATAAACTACAACGTTTGAAGGAAGGCTGAGGCAAAAATATGTAGAAAGAAACTTGCGATTGCATACTACTGCATTAAAAAGCGAATTGCTCCATTTGTTTAACAGATTTTGGCAGAACAGATTTTGGCAGAAGACATTATACTGAAAAGTGCAACGGTATAATATTTCTTAAATATGTTGGAAAATAATCAACATAGATATGTTTTTAAGTACAGTATTGATCAAGAAAAAGTATACATCTACATCCATTCTGTCCAAATTGCAAAGTTATTCAGTGAAAAGAACGGTTTTGTTGGCGTTAGAATAAAATTTTCCCGCAACATTAACTATGTTGCGAGGCCTATACATTTATAATTTTCATTGATTTTGCAATGTAAAACCCTCTCCTCATCTTTAGGCCGAAGTCAAGATTCCGATGTCCGTAAAGCAGTTGTGAGTAATGTAGTTTCAGTTTTTTTTTCCCAAATGCTACCAATTATGATATCTGTACTTCAACATCAGCATTGCTACTTTGTTAAACACTGTCGGTAAAGAACTAAGTACGTTACGTATTATACGAAGGCCCACAATTTTTCGTACTTTGATATACACTTTTGCAAAAATATAACTACTATGTACATGTAGAAGAAGATTGGTAGTTTTGATATATGCATGACAAAATTTCGCAAGTACGTTGATTAGAGATATTCACAGGATTTGAACATCCGTTCTTTCCGGAAATTGCTATTTTTTCCATTATTTTTACAACAAATTCCCAAAATTGAAGTAGTGCACACCCCTCGAGCAAATTAAAACATATTTATTTGAAAATAATTTGTTGAAAGACAAGCAAAAATAATGGTAAGAATTTGCTCGAGGAATGTGCAGTATGTTAATTTTGACATTTCATGACTATTTCCGGTGTCGGATACCGAGTTAGTCGAGAGGCGAATTCTTATCTAGGAGTAATAATAATGGTATATTTCGTGTAATAATGTTAAAAAATAAATTTATCATTGATTGATCATGTTTATATTGCTTATACAAATATATTTGTCATGAAAATAGCATAAAAACTAAAAAAATGT